TGATAATCACCTTGCTGTTTGCAGTAGCATAACTGTATTCTCTCCTTCATATGTTGGAGAAGGAGAATAATCAGCATAAAGTTGAGGTAGACCACTGGCAGCTGAGTAGCCATGACCACCACAGCTTAATCTGCACAACTATACATAGGAAAAACCATCATGATGAAATACATGTAATTACACAATGCAGTCAGGGTTTCCTACAAAATTTTTTGGCATAGTACTAGTCTTGTCATTGGATTTTAAAGTTACAAAAAGATTGGCAAAATAACATATACTATACAGTGTATTTTTTTCAAAAATCACTACAAGAGAATTTTCTAATTATACATTTTCTAGCATGCATACATGTTCTTGTGCTGTATGCATGGAAATCTGCTTCTAATAAAAATTGATTTTTTTACAAATTTTAAAATTAATTTTATTAAAAAATTTTGACAAAAGTCCCTGTACTATAGTACAGGTTCCTTGGGTGAATTTCACTAAAAATGATTAGGACAAATACTTAATTTGTATAATTTTTCTGATACATATACAAGCTTTTATGTTGTGTAGCAAGTTTGAGCTGATTCCAATCAAAATTGGATTTTTATGAGTTTTCAAAGTTGCTCCAAAGCCATGTACATGTACATACATGTGTATTATAGTGCTTGTCAGCTCATGAAGGAAACTGTTTAGCTTATTAAGTATGCTTTATGGAAAAACCATGAATAATTATAGTACCTCAATAGCACTGCAGCACAGTTCACTGCAAAATGCTTTCAAACCAGCACTAGTAGCATGAAGCTAGAAAGAAGACATTAATAAATATTGAAATAATATTAATAATACCATACCTCAGGTAGAGATTTTAAGTTTCCTTCACCGTCTAATTTCTTTAGTCACTTCAGTGTTAAGTTTCATCAAGTATTGGTTAGCAAACTTCATAGCATAAGCAGAGGCCAATACAGGAAACAGTTTAAACTGTTGAGTTTGATAATCCAATACTTGTGTCTCGGGTTCACTAAATTACAGATACATTTAAGCAATAATTGGGCGAAGCCCACTAAGACAAGAAAAAGTCTGTACGGGCAGGTTATCTAACAATTAAAGCTAAATAGTCTAATCTTCATTTTGAAAGCAAGTATGGTCATAATGAAATAATTTAAATGACGGCTTTCAGAAAGTCTATGCTCTTTTGCAGCAAACATTCAGCAAGATAAGACAAAACTACTGTCCAAAAACGTTTCTAGCAACAGGAAGGGTCATTACAGCACAACAATAGCGTGACTTGGGGGGAAGGGCTGAGCCCCTTCAAATGTTTTACATTCTTCTAGTAATTATACTGGTACAGTCTATTGTACACTAATCAGTTTGAAAATAATTCATTGGCTTGCACTGACTAGCCGCCACGTCAGTAATGTGAATGCGTGTGTGGGAGGACAAGGTTGGGAGTAACAGTTAATATAGTTAGTATGTTATTGGAGTTACATTCTTCTACAAAAATTATACTGGTACATGTACATGGTGTTGCCCAACTGCATGTTACAACTGTTACACCTCATAGGAGGTGCTTATTTGCTTTAAACATAATTTCTGCAGACATAGTTATGACATGTGGCTAATTAGTGGTATTCTTGCATGGCTTCCTCCAAACCTCATTCATATCATTAACAAACAGAAAAACACAGGGCCAAAATGCCTCCCTGCA